ACACATACATACACACACACATCTGTTGAATTCAATTATTAAATCAGCTTGGAGCTTGGAAACAGTCGGTGCCTCCGATCAAGGGACATGATCTGTGTTGCCACGGCAACGCTGTCCCATCCTAAGGGTTAATGGTTTTTAGCATGAGGAATTGATCCGTCCTCCCTAAATGGGGAAAATTGAAACTGCATAATTCAGCAAGGCTCCTGGATTTCTCCCTCCCATCCCCAACCTCCCTGTCTCGTATTACAGATGTGCGTGTTACGTCCTCATCCACACAGCAGCTATCTCTGCTAGCGCTTGTATCGATCTCCCACTGGGGACTCGGAATAACGAAATATGAAGCGCCAAAGATAAACGGTTTCCCCTCCTGAAGTTTTTCATTATTGAAACAGATTCAAAGAGATCCAACAGCCATGCTTTACCAATAATCTCATCTTTCATTCTTCATTTGCACACATGACAGTTCTCTCTGTTTTCCTTTTCTCTGTATGCATACTGTACCACAATGAAGACATTCTAGAAGAGAGGTTGACGATATCTTTCACTGCTTTATGATAAGACGGCAGGGTGGTCTCGCGGTTAACCGGAGAAATCTGGCGTCAAGTATTCTCCTGAACCCCTTCCAGCTGCAAGGCCACAGAAAGAGCAACATGTGTCTTAAGTCTTCACCATGAATGACAGAGCTCCCTTCTCCCTTGGCCTTCCTGACCTCACAGACCTATTACAGTCCACAGAGGCTCTGTGTGTACGTGCAGGGTTTGTGTAAACACATGTGCGTGTGTGTGTGTGTGTGTGTGTGTGCCTGTAGAATATGCCTCTAGTTAATGTCACACGGCCCCATGGGAAAGAAACATTTCCTGTCTTCCTCTCCCAGACTTCGAGGACTCTGATGACCGTGAAGTCTCCGGCTGCCTGCAGATGTTTTTCCACACAGAAACAACTGTATTTCAAACTGGATGCACACAAAGCTGCATCTCAACTGAGGCTGGATTGTTTGTCTAACTCACTGTAAATGTTAAGCTCCGAATTTCTGAGTATTTAAAAATAGCATGGTAACCTCAATTTAAATGTAAAAAGTCTGTATTTGGGATATAAACGACACTCAACCACCCCCCCCCCCCCCCCCCCCCCCCTTTCCCCTACTTTAACTACTCTATTATCGTCTTTTTGGCGAGGCCCGAGGCCGTTGCTCTGCATTTAAATCATTTGGACTTGATTCTGTGAGCATTGGCTTTACTCTGCGCAACAGTGTGTGACGGTGTGATGCACTGACACAGAAAACAATGCTCACTCTCTCACTCTCTCACCCTCAAACACTTAAAGCCTCTCAATTTCAGTTCCACCTCCCTCCTTCTACGTCCTCACGAAAAACAGCTTTCTCAGGATCCCTCAGTTGCGTCTTCCTCCCACATGATAAATCTTTCAATTTCAAGTCTATTTTCTTTCTCCGCTCCTCGGAAAGGGGGAAGTGTACAGTACTGCCGCTAGTGTTAAGAGCTTCCCCCAACAGTAAAAAAAAACAGTTTGCAACTCCCAAAAACCACAACTGCCCTCTGAATATGACAAGCAAAAACCTGCTGCTTAGCAACCAAACGCCTACCAAATTGAAATGTAATGAACCGAGCTACATTCACACACAAGACTCTTTTTTTTTTTAATATTCTTGACATCCTGACGAAGCCCTTTTATTCCCCTCACTCCAGCAGAAAAGTGCGTTATTGTCTCAAATTAATTAGCTTTGCAACACCGTTGCCGATCGGCTAATAATAAAAATGCGAAGCAACAATACAGACTGCAGTAATTGTGCAGCGGAGCAATTTTCTGTGATTAAACAAACCAGCCAAGCGTGTCATCCAAATAAGTAAATTAGAGCGCGGAGCGTGAAAAAAATGAGATGGATTGTTATAATGATTTCAGGGATTGTCACTCACATTGTAAGTGACCTTTTTTTGCTGGGGGGGGGGGGGATCAACTGTTGAACCCTGGGAATTCCCGGACGGAGGGCATAGACGGGGCTGCAGAGTAAGAAGACT